CGGGAAATCGGAAATTTCGAAGGTATTTTGCTTTTTTTGGGTTCTTAAAGTGGCGTCCAATTCTGTATCCCCAATTTCTGATGAAGCATATCTCTTGTTCTGAACTCATGAATGGGTTTAATGGAGTTATTTAGGAAAATTTACAGAAAATGGCATTGAAAATTCTCTGTTTTAGAATTTTGTTTGGCATTTAATTTGTACTGGTAGCATTTGGACACAAGGGAGTTCCATCTTGTTTGGGTTTTTTTTTTTAATTTGATATTAGCCGTGGATCTTTCCCTTTGTAGAAGTAATGAATACGAGGTAAATGGTGGTAATTTCTAAAGTTGAAATTTTGTGTAGTGCCAAGTATTGTATATGGTAAAGGATGTCAAATAAAAGTTGTAAAATCTGGCCTTCAAGTTTTGCTCATTGCTAGTATAACTAACTTTTGATCCTATCAGGTACCTTTGGACTATGTTTCAAATTACTTTTCCTGAGAATATTTTTGCCATTGTGTTGAGAGAGATGTGAGTTTTTTCCTACCAGAAGAGATCAGAAGAGAGAGGGGTATATACCGAAATTAACATGGTATAGTTCCAAAGAGTTTTTTCGAATTGGATGTTTCGATAGACATAGTGATAGATAGAGTGATGAAAATATTCATGTATTCCAACAAAATTTGTAAGAATAAGACTTAAAAGCATGTTTGGCCAAGCTTAAATTAAAAGCACCTTTAAGGTTAGCCAAACATGGTGTTAGTTTGTTGTTGTTGGGTTAGATGGGAACTGTAGTCGAATATAACTAGTTCGTGCTCTTATCTATTCTTTAAATTACAGCATTGATTTAGATGCAGACAGGGATTGGTGTCATATTAACTTATAATGGTGAGTGGCGAATTTAATTGAGGGGAAGAATATCATTGGGGTGATGAAGATGCTATGCCATCAACTGTTGAAACATTATTTGGCCTCATGGACCTTCATCGTGTTGGTTGCAAACACTAATTGTTTTACTGTTTTCTTGACATGGGATATTTATATGAATGCATCAGTTGCGGTGTGCGAATTGTTGCCTACCTCTTTAATAACTAACTGTAATGACCTTTAATTTGACCTAGTTTCTTCATGTTATTACACCATTCGTGTCTTTTCTGGAAGCTTAGGTTTCATAATTTAATTCTATGATCCTTTATTACAATAATCGACAATCCCATTTGCTCCATCTCTTGATCTGCAGTGAGGAAACTGAATCTTGTAGGTTCTATGCGATGGAACTTAATGGTCATCGGAGACCTAGACACAAGGATCTTACCACTCATCAAAATGGTGACATGAGCACATCAAGCGTTGATAACGAGCTTGATCCATGGACTGCTTTGGCATACAAGCCTCATACCATTTCAATGTTCTAATAGGTGCATGTTTCCTAGTGTAAGTTGCTTAATCTGTAAGTTTAGTCTCTTTTCCATTCTCTTTTTATAATTTTTGTAGTTCTCTTCTTGATGGAATTAGTTGATTATCTGACTTGTATTTTTAGAGTTTTCCCTTCCATTTTTCTTTCTTTGAAGATGATTACATATATTCATTCTGGCATTCATAAACAGTTTTTTGGTTTTGGAGAAGTACACAACGATTATGAGAAGCTTCACTATATCACAGTGATATAGGGCTGCAAAGTGCAAAGTTTAGCTGTACATACTAATTCTGTATATTTAAAAATTCTACCAGATTGACAAGTGGAGCACTTGATCCCGAATGTAGTTCAGCAATTGATCTTGTTACCTTCGTGAAAAGGTATGTGCTTGCTTATGCACGTGCTATGTTACCATTCCATATTAACTCAAAGGGAGTCTAATATAGCTCATTTGAAGGAAGAACAAAAGCAGCTAAAGGTTCAAGTGGCAAATATGGAGAGGACAATCAATGACTTAATGAAAAAACAGGTTAATAAGTTCCTTTAAGTGAAATATAACTCATATACACTTTTACTTCATATGATTTAGTAGCTAGTTTCTGAAATTTTTTATCTTTGTAGTTTAAGGAAAATCAAAGTGAAGAATTATCTAATATTCAACTATCGTCTTCATTGGTAAAATTTATCATTCATTTTCATTGATAATATATATGTATTTTTAAAGTTGACTATAATGTGGCTCCTGAATTTGTGTTGTTGAAGAGTGTAAACACTAATACACTCAACAGTAAGCGTAAGCTACTAGAGTGGATCAGAACAGCAGAAGTGGTGGCAGAAGGATGTTGGTCTTCAAATGATCCAAAAGTATTGGTTAATCACATTCTTTTAGGACCTAATGCTGTGAGAGTTTGGGTTGATGTAGCTATGAAACCTGATGCATTTTTGTGGAGGCCTACTTCTGATATGACTTGCATTGAAGAATGTGTTGGTACCACGGTTGCATGGCCATGTGATAAAGTTGTAATCGAGTAAACAACATAGACAATAAGGTCAAATTTTATACCCTATTATCTTCGGTCACTAATTGGAGTTTTGAAATTTTTTTTACTTCATGTTATTTTAAAATCTAACAACTTGTATGACTTATATTAATTTTCAGATTTAAATGCATCATTGATTTGATGGATGTGTTCTCCAAACAAGTTGCAAGAGTTCAAGAAATTTCATTTTGAAGAACTAGAATGATATCGTTCTATTTTCAAGCATATATTCTATTAGTATTTGGTGTGAGACATAACATAATTAGATTTTTTATTGAACATCTACATTTGTAAATTTCTACAAAACACTATTGATGGTTGTTTGAAATTTATTATTGGCTTGGTTATTGTTGTTTAAATTTTTTTAGTCCAAAACATAATGAGATTGAATATTTACATTTGATAATTAAGGAATAAGGAATGCTATGTAATATGTATACATTATAATAAAAATGCTATAAAAAACATTACATTATATTCAATAAATGCTATAAATATTTAAAAGCTATGA